ATAAATTTATTGACTAAAATGAATTTGCATGAAATTTCCAAAGAAATGTATTTGAAGACTGTTTGGGAGGAGCAGGGTCTGGTGGCATATGCCAGTAATCCCAACAACTAGGGAGGTTGAGGCAGGAGAATTGCAAGTTTGAGGCCAGCCTCAGCAACTCAGTGAGACCCTCAACAATTTAGCAAGACCATGTCTCAAAATAAAAAATGAAAAGGGTTGGGGATGTAGCTCACCAATAAAGCACTCCTAGGTTCAATTCCTAGAATAATAATAATAATAATAATAAATAAAAGAAAGCAGAACAACAACCACCATCACCACCACTACCACCACAACCATTTGGGGGGCTAGGGATGTAGCTGAGTTGTAGAGTGCTTGCTTATCATGTGTGAGGCTAATTTCCAGAAGCAGCAGCAACAGCAGCACCCCCACCCCACCCCCACAACAAAGACTTTCAAAGGAAAAACTGAGGGCTCAGAAAAATGCTCTGGCACTCTTCAAGAGCATTCCAGAGCTAGGCTGCCATCAAAGATGTTCTAGTTTGTAAGGAGTGATGAACCATTTGTCTTTTCACACATCCATAACAAAGGCCTTGAGATCCTTAATCCTGGAACCCTCTCTTTTATCCTTGCAGTTTCTCTCCCCAGGTGGGAAAATTTAAGTGTGTGAAACTAGAGAAACAAATGCATATAGAAATAACTGTAAGAAGGCAGGTGTGGCACACACCTCGGGGAAACTGAGGCAGGAGGCTTGCAAGTTTGAGACCAGCCTCAGCAACTTAGTGAGACCCTCAACAATTTAGCTGTCTCCAAAAATAAAAAAGGGCTGAAGATGTAGCTCAGTGTAGGTAGAGTACTCCTAGGTTCAATCCCCAGTAACACACACAAACACATACACACACACACACACATCAAAACTCTTTTAACAGTTCCAGAAGGCTGGACAAACAACAGGACTGGTAATTTCACCCTCCCAGTGATTATAGTTATTGTGTTTAGGAAGAAACTCCTCCCTTCCTTCCCTCATCAACTCCTCCCTCCTACTGCCCCCATTACTGTCCTCACTATTTTTTTTTTTTAAAGAGAGAGTGAGAGAGGAGAGAGAGAGATAGAGAGAATTTTTAATATTTTATTATTTTTTTTTTTAGTTCTCGGAGGACACAACATCTTTGTTGGTATGTGGTGCTGAGGATTGAACCCGGGCCGCACGCATGCCAGGCGAGCGCGCTACCGCTTGAGCCACATCCCTAGCCCCTCACTATTTTTATAAGGCCAAAAAATCTCTAGAAATGGAATTTCCTTCCCTTTAGCAATCAAAAGTAAACATTCTTAAGGTCTACAATATGACCTGTTTTTCCTTGATAACTCCGTTTAATAATTTCAGTCCTTGGGTTTAGAGGTGGGTGCTGGGAATCTTAACCAGCCTACGTAATTAGGAACTATCGGGACTCATTTAAAGGCCAATATCCTGTCACTCCTACCTTCAGAATCAAGATTTTAGAATGGTAGGAAGCGTTGACAGATTAACAAACTCTTTCACTGTAAAGATAAAGAAATTAAGGCTCACAGTCCTCATTGCAGTGATAGGCACCTAGTAGGTACTCAGTAACTATTTACATTTTTGTTCCTGGCTTAAATTGTTCAAAATGGCTAGTCCATACTAGAATACAGGGTTCAAAATTTCAAACCATTTTCTTTCTACTCTATCACATGGAGTTTTGTGTTTCCATTGGCTCTACTCTGAAGACATTACTGTCATAAATTGTATGTTAGTTTATATACCTATTGCAGTGCTAGGGATTGAACCCAGGACCTCATGTTTGCTAGGCAAGTGCTCTACCACTGAGCTAAATCCCCAGCTCCCTTTTAAAATTTTATTTAAAATAGTTTTATTTGATGAAATTTACAAACCATACAGTTCCCCCATTTAATGTATAGTTTTTAATGCCTTTTAGTATATTGACAAGAATTGTGTATTCACTACTTCAGACAAGACCAGGCGCATTTAGGGTTGTTTGGTCTTAGACTGTATTCACCAGTTCAATCAATTTTAGAACATTTTCATTGCCTCAGAAAGAAATCTGATTTCCACTAGCAGTCATTCCCATTCCCTTCATCCCACCCTCTCTTGTCCCTCGATTCTCAGCAACCACTAATTTACTTTCTTTTTTTTTTTTTTCTTCTTTTTTTGTACTAGGGATTGAACCCAGAGGCATTTAACCACTGAGCCACAACCCTAGCCCTTTTTATGTTGAGACAGGGTCTCACAAGTTGCTTAGGGAGCTGCCAAATTGCTGAGGCTGACTTTGAATTTACATTCCCCTGCCTCCACCTCCTCAGCCTCTGGGATTATTAGAATGCACCACTGCACATGGCTGTTTTTTTGTTTTGTTTTGTTTAAATTAGCACTTTACAGTTATACACAGTAGTTGGGTTCATCTTGACAAATTCATATGTGCATGAAATTAAATTTCAGTTCATGATCTCTGCCTATCTTTAACCTCTCCCAACCCCACTTATTTACTATCTCTATAAGTTTGGCTATTCTTGAACATTTCATATAAATGGGACTATATAATATATGATCTTTTGTGACTAGCACTTTTCACTTAGCATGTTTTGATGTTTCACCATGTTATCATGTACTTTTTATTGCAGAATGATATTCCATTACATACATATAGCACATTTTATTTATCCATTTGCCAGTTGATATTTAGCTGAATTTAATTAATTAATTAATTTACAGGGTTGGGGATCAAACCTAGGGCCTTACACATGCTACTGCTAATTCTATCACTGAGCTATATATTCCCAATGCTGAATTGAATTTTAAGCAATTAAATTACTGGTTACTGATAGCTACTGATGCCTAAAACCAAGACATAAATATAGATCTCATATCTATGTTGAATTTACACCTAAAGAAGTATACTTTATGAAGACTTAATTATAACTAAATACCTGAAAATCAACATATTTTTTTCCTCTAAATTTCCTGATATGCATGATAATATTGTGGAAAGATAAAGACTTGCCTTAAGTTTTACTGCTCTTCTAACTCCTAGGAAAATAGAAGCACCTATATAGATAGATTGCTTGAGTGAGAGCCCTCAGGAAGAGAAGAGAAAATTAAAAGAAACTCAGCAAGACTTTTTCTGGCTTTCAAACAAGAGGTCAAATCCTGGTATGGTGGACCATGCCTGTAATCCCAGTGACTGGGGAGGCTGGGGAGCAGGAGGATAGCAAGTTCCACACTAGCCTGGGGCAACTTAGTGGGACCATGTCTTAAAAAAATATAAAGGATTGGAGATGTAGAGCAGTGGTAGAGTATGCCTGGGCTTAATACGCAGAACCAAACCACCCCAAAAAAGCAAAAAGCAAAAAGTGAGGTTAAGAAGAGACAGGACGTTTGGGGATCACACCCAGTCCAGTGGTTGACATTCCTATATCCCAGACACATAAACAATCTAAGGATGACTGTGGGAGGAGGGAGAGGAAAACAGCACAGGTGCAAATCAGTCATTAAGACTTACATTTTCATCTCTGTCCTTCTGAACCGATCATTGGCTCTCATCCAACCTCCACACTGTTTGTATTGGTTTCCAAGCGGGTCAAGAATGGGAGACTAGCCGGGCACAGGGGAGCACATACATAATCCCAATAGAGGCAGAGGCAGGAGGATCCAAGTCCAAAGCCACCCTCAGCAATTTAGAGAGGCACTAAACAAGTTTGTCTTCCTTGGGTTCAAGCACCTGCTACAAAAAAAAAAAAAAAAAAAAAAAAAAAAGGAGACTTTTGGGGACTAGTTTATGTTTTGGTAGGAAGAAACTGAATTTGTAAATGTCAAATTGAGGATATTATGCCCACAAATCCCTTGTTTACCTAAATCCTTTCTTCCCTCCTCGTATTCTTGGATAAGTTGGGGTTAAAGAACTCCTGAGTCACCTGTGGTAGAGTAAGGGCTTTTATGAGTGTATTCCGGCCCATTTGCGGATGCCAGCTGAGAACACTGGGAAAGATCCTTGACGCAGCCCGCCCTAGACTTGGGTGTTGTGTCATTCCCTACACGTGATGCTCTCCCAGGCGGCAGCGATCTCATAAATCTTGAGATTTATCCCTCCCACTGACTCCACCTTTCCTCCCTAACTTCTCAACCTCTGAATTACCAGCTCCGCCCCACCCCCATCACTGCCCCCACTGCTTCAAGACCAGGAAAGAGGAAGGTGGTTGGAGACCTAGAATTTCCTCTCCCCAAGTTGGCCGGAGCAGAGAAACCATGTTTGGGAAAATGCAAGATGTGGAGTTTCAGTTTTACCCTTCTCCGGAATTCTTTGCATTTCCTGTTTTAGGTTATCTTTACTCTTCCCTAGCCCAAACAGTACTACCCTACTTGAGAGCACATTATCACTTGGTAGACTCTTATATTTATGTTTTTTTCCCCTCCCCCCTCCCACTTTTCTGAGTCCGGAATTCCCAATTAGAACTAGTTTCAAGTCCCGGCTCGGCCTCTTTCCTAGCTACGTAACCTTGAGTGAACCACAACTTTTCTGGGCCTACTTTCTTTGTCTGTAAAAAGGAGGCCAAACATCTCAAGCACTTCGCCGGTTGTGATGATTAAATGAGAAAGCGCCTGGGAACTATGAAAAAGCAATAGAAATGTTAGCTACGTTTGTCCTGGTGGGCTAGTCTCTCTTTCAGAACCCCTCCCTTTCCTTTGGGATGGCCTTGCAAATCCTGCCTCGGTTCTCAACGCTTCCCGTGGGCGTCGCACCGGTAGCTTGGCGCTGGGTAGTGACGCCACGGCCTTCCTCCACCAGCGCACGCTGACGCATAGCTCCGCCCCCAGCCGCGCCTGGCCTCCCGTGGGGCCCCGCCCACTGGGCATTCGCGGCGTCGGCCCCGCCTCGAGGGTGACGTGTAGGGCGCGCGGCCGGGCCGCCCCGGCAGTTGGTGCTGCGGCGGTTGGGGTGAGTGCGCTCACCCCACCCCTCCCCTCCTCCAGCCCCGGCCCCCACCCCGCCTGGCCCAGCCCTAGCCTTAGCCGGGCCCGTCCCGTGCGGGCCCGTGCCGTCCCTCAGCCGGCGACGCCCGGGCTGCCCGCCTGCCCACCACCATGGAGCTGGAGGACGGTGTGGTGTACCAAGAGGAGCCCGGCGGCTCCGGGGCCGTGATGTCGGAGCGGGTGTCCGGCCTGGCCGGCTCCATATACCGCGAGTTCGAGCGGCTCATCGGGCGCTACGACGAAGAGGTGGTCAAGGAGCTGATGCCACTGGTGGTGGCGGTGCTGGAGAACCTGGACTCGGTGTTCGCGCAGGACCAGGAACACCAGGTGGAGCTGGAGCTGCTGCGGGACGACAACGAGCAGCTCATCACCCAGTACGAGCGGGAGAAGGCGCTGCGCAAGCACGCCGAGGAGGTGAGGGCTGGCGGGCTACTAGGGTACGGGGCCGGGGGTCGCGGCCGGCCTGGGGACGTGAGGCACGCCGGGCCTCCTGGAGGACGGGCCTGAGGCGAGGCCTCCGGCGCCGAGCCCAGACGCCTTGCTCGTCCCTGAGGCTCGCCGGCGTTGGAAGCCGGGGCAAGGCCAGTGAGTGTTCAGGAAAGGAGTGAGGTGGAAGGCAGGGCCCAGAGAGGAAGCGACAGCCTGGCATGAGGACACCTGGGGTTGGCAAGGGCGGAGTCTTTAGGGTGTCTGGTTGCTCCTTGGTGTTTAGGGAAGTTTCCGACCACCGTAGGATGGTCGGACCGCGGCTCAAACTTTTACCGTTTGGGAGGAGGGTTACTTCTGTCTTGATATGTAACTTCCGCTGGCTCCAGTACCTTTCCAGGGGGTTGCTGCTGCTTTGGGAAGTTAGAGATCTCCCTCTTTCGGTCAGTTGCTTCTTGACATTTTAATCCATTTGAGAAAGAGATCTTATTTTATGTCCTATGTAACATTCTTAACACGTTGTCAACATTTAAATGTTGTATTGCAGTGCTCAATAAATAGGTAGTGTGCGCTGTTTTATTTTATTGGTATCCCACACGAAAGCATTCTTCCATATCAGGTGGTAACCTTGGACAGTTCCCTTCAAAAGCTCTCTGTTTATTTATAAGAGGACTGGGGGGCGGGGTTGAGGAGGTGTGGGTGACAGTTGGCAACACTTTTCCTGTCTTGAATTTGCTTCTCAAACTGCAGTTTACAGGTGCAGTTGGCCTGCTGTTAACTGGAGCATCTGAGTGGTGACCTCTGTGCTCTCACTTGCAATCTGTGAACCTTTTGGAGCTCTGAAGTGCAAGTGATATGTCCTTGGAGTCCAAGATTTTAGTTTTCAGGCTGTGTTGTCATTATTTCTGTGGAACTTTTATCTAAAGCAGGCAGTGTCCTAATTGTCTTTGTTTCCCCAAGCATCTAGCATAACTGGCTAAATGCTTGGTGACTGAAAGAGGCTAAATAGTTATTGAAGGAACCATGTGTTATTTTCAGAAATACTTGAAAAGTTTTTAGGATGTGAGATTGTTCAGTAGCTCATTTCCTAATGTTAAATAGTGCCACCATTTAAACTTTTTGTTTTGTTTCATCACATATATCTTTGCACCTAGTTGCTTTTAGTTTGATTATAGTGACAATTTTTAATTATTATGAGTTTGAGATCCATTTATCTCAAAGGAATGTCATTGAATTTTCCAAACAATTGGCTTTATTTCAGGAATATTTCTAAATATATAGGGACTGCACGGTTGAAAGTACAAATGACAATGGGATCACAATTTCCACTAGTTTATTAGCACTGTTTATAGAATAGAGGTTTCTGAGCTGGCTTGCCACTTCTTCATGCTCATACAGGCCAGTATGTTGATTGTATATGGAAGAGACTGGGCAATTAACCACATGTACATACAGGTGAGGAGCAGACTCAGCATGATCAGGCCCAGCATCATCTGTCACCTCTGGTAAAAGAAATACTCCCTCCAGCCTTAAACTCCTGTCATTCCATGTAAACATGGGCAAAATGCCAAGGTCACACGTGCCAGGAAAACTCTGCCACAGGTTATAGAATCAGAAAATAAAATTGACCAGCTGGTAGGCTTTGGGTTTTATATTAATTTCTTAAGTAAACAACCTTTTTTTTTTTCTTTTTTCTTTTGGTACTGAGGGTTTGAACCCAGGGACACTTTACCAGTGAACTACATCCCAGCCCTTTTTATTATTTTTTTATTTTATTTTTTGGGGAGTACCAGGGGTTGAACTCAGGGGCACTCAACCACTGAGCCACATCCCCAGCCTATTTGCATTTTATTTAGAGACAGGGTCTCACTGAGTTACTCAGTTTTTCCCCATTGCAGAGGCTGTGTTTGAACTCCTGATTCTCCTGCCTCACCCACATGAGCCACTGGAATTAAAGGCATGTATCACCATGCCCGGGTCCTTAATTTTTTTTTTTTTTTTTTTTATTTCAAGACAGGGTTTTAATAAATTGCTGAGGCTGGCCTGGAACTTGTGATCCTCCTGCCTCAGCCTTCTTAGTCTCTGGGATTACAGGCATGCACCAACCCAGCTTAAGTAAACAACTTTTTAAAAGTAGGTTATCCCATGACTTCTTTTGTAGTTTATATTTTTTCAGTCACATATGTAAAATCCCCATAATGAAACCTTTGGGCAAAGGATCATGACTGGAGAACACTGATGAAATGTTAGATGAGCCAACTCCCAGACCACAAACCTAAAACCATTTCATTTTCAGCCTTCATCTTAAATCAGAAGACTTAAAACAAATTTTACCTACATCTAGAAATTCAATCTCTTAGGCCAATATGCAGAGTTAATTTTGTTTAATTTCCTGTTTTGTGTCTTTAACATGAAGAGTAAGAGTCTGCTATTATAGCAAAAAGTGCCTCAGGGTATTTACAGCAAAAGTAATTTGAAAACATAGAAATTGTCCATCACAAGAGTGTAAAATAAATTCTGAGCACCTTTGTGTAAATTTAGGAGCATATATAAATGGTAAGAATGTTTTAGGAGCTTGTGAGGTGCAATAGTCATTTGCTTACAGGAATTGTCAACAAGGAGTCAAAAGTTTAATCTTTATTATAATGATAGGACTTCAGTTGAAGACACACTTGTTTTTCTTTGCTTTTGTTTGAATTTTTGTGTTTGTGTCAGTTGCTGTTTTAGTGAATCTTTAAGAACTTCCCAGGGGTTGGAGGTTGTAGCTTTTAGGCAGAGTGCATGCTAGGCACTCTGGGTTTAAGCAAAGCATCACAAAACAAAAAAACAAAACAAAACAAAAAACACAAAAATAACCCAAACACCTAAAGGAGGACTGATTTTTAGATAGATTTAGACTAGTTTCAAATGTTAATCAAGTAATTGGCCATATTTTCTCCCTCTCTGGGCTCCCTGCCACATTATCTTTCCATTCCTTATTCAAACCCTGTCATATGCCTTTGCCCATGCTGCTTCCTGCCCCAAAATGGTCTTCCCTCAGAGCTTCACCTGGAATGTTATTACATCTTTATTTATTCACTGAAATCTTAAAATTTAGAGAGCTCGAAGTACATTCTAGTGCTTTGTTGATTTCTGTATTACCTACCTTATTTCTTATATAAAACTAATACATTTTAAAACATACTTCATTTTTCAAAATGTTATTGTTCTTGCTGAATCATTTGAACTAGCTTCACACTGGCTCCAGTCAGAATAGATGTGCCCCTGCCCCTAGTTTATCCTTATTTTCTGGTACTTTCTGAAGTTAACTCAGTTTTGAAGGGGTGTATGTGCACACACTTGGTGATTACCTTTTGAAATGATAATCAGTTAACCATTTTAAAAAAATATTTATTTTTTATTGTAGACAAACAATATTTTAATTTTATTTTTATGTGATGCTGAGGATCAAATCCAGTGCCTCATGCATGCTAGGTGAGCACTCCACCACTAAGCCACAACCCAAGACCCAGTTAACCATTTTTTAATTCTTAAGATAGATGTTTTTTTTTTAGAGGTGATCTTGACATTTCATACATTAATTAGGATAGATATTATTATTATTATTATTATTATTATTTTTGTGTGTGTGTATGGTGCTGGGGATCGAACCCAAGGCCTTGTACATGCAAGGCAAGCACCCTAACAACTGAGCTACATCCCTAACCCCTTATTATTTCTTAACCTTAAGAAATCTATGGTTATTGATATTAAGGGAGATACCATTATATGAGATTCACATTTTGACTTAGTTAAGATCACAAAATTGAATACAAAATTGGGTATACTACCAACTGGGCCGAGGACTTCTAGTCAGAAGGTAGATAAATATAGGACAATTCATGAGATTGCCAGAGTGTGTACTATAGGTCACTCATTCAGTTCTGTGTTTAAGGGACTAAGAGGTTCCAAGCTTGGTGGTACATGCTTGTAATCCCAGCAACTCAGGAAGTTGAGGCACACGTTCAAGGTCACCATAAGCAATTTAACCAGACCATGTGTCAAAATAAGAAATAAAAAGGCTGGGGACTGGGATTGTGACTCAGGGGTAAAATGCTCACCTAGCGCACAAGGCCCTTGGTTCAATCCTTAGCACCACATATAAATAAATAAGGGTATTGCATCCAACTACAACTAAAAAATAAACATTATTTATTTATTTATTTATTGGTGGTGCTGGGGATTGAATCCAGGGCCTTGTGCTTGCAAGGCAAGCACTCTACCAACTGAGCTATATCCCTAGCCCCCAAAAAATAAATATTTAAAAAGAAAAAAAAAAAGAAATAAAAAGGTTGAAAATGTAGCTTAGTAGTAAAGTGCTTCTGGGTTCAGTCTTTAGCGTACATGTCACATACTCAAATACTGGAAGGTTTCTACTTTCTGGAATACTAAGTTTACCTTTAACTATAGGCTGCATACCTAAGGTTTGGAGGAGAACTGGTATTAGAACCTAGCCAGTTGTATTTTTTTGTTCTGTTGACTAATGGCTGAGTTATTTTGAAAACACCTTTTTTGCTTTGCTCAGCACACATAATGAATACAGCTGTTACCAAAATAATTAGGCTGAGATCAGAAATATCCAATATAGACCCAGTTTAATAATTTATGTAACATAGATATTTAAAAAGCTGATATTCACAAATATATTTGTAAATTATATTTTATATTTTGAAATCTTGGCCAGTAATATTTAATTATTGGTTTGAAAATAGCACTGTATTTTATTTTCTGTTTAATTTCCTATTTCACATTCTAGGCAAGTGTTCTATCACTGAACTACATCCCCATCCCTTTTTTTTGAGACAGAGTCTAAGTTCAAACCCAGACTGGGTTTGAACTTAGTATACTCCTGCTTTAGCCTCCCAAGTAGTTAGAATTGTAGGTATGCATCACCACACCCAGCCCTCTCTGCTTTATATTAAGAAAAGTTTCAAACATTAAGAAAAATT